CCCCCTCCTATATGGTGTTGCACCGGTTCTATCGGAGCCACGACGGTACTGTACGCACCTCGGCGTCGTAGGTGGCCGGCTGCTCATGCATGTATTTTGCCGTCGAGAGCTTGCGGGTCCCTCTGCGAGCTTCCTGCGAGCACAATCACAGGAGGTTTCAGTTTTGCAACATTTGTGGATACCGTAGTCGTTGGACCATTGACCTCGCATCCTTACAATGCCGGGATGGACGGGATGCCGNGGGATGGACGGGATGCCGCTGCGGGGGGGGGGGGGGTAAGGTACCTATCAGGCCACAAGCACGCGGCTGTCGTTAGAAGGGGAAACTCTCGGTGGGACAGGCTAACCCGAGGGCGTGTGTTTTGCAAGCACTGGAGATGCCGTCACTAACCGGACACTTTGTAGACCTGAATTCCGGTTGTCGGTTGTTGGCACAGAAAAGCGGAGTCCTTCTAGAAAAGGTACTGCTGTAGCCCTTGTTGCTTCTTCTGAGTTTGCGCACGGAATGATGTCCAAAAGCTCAGCTCGAACATCCAACACAACATACTTGCGGGTAGCCAAACTACCGATATGCATCGGCCATGGGTGCTTCGTCTGAGTTTGGGGACGACATGTTATCTAAGCTCAGCTCCAACATCCAACACAAAATGCTTGCGGGTAGTCAAACTACCCATCTATGAATCGGTGTCAGGCAATGCGCGGCAGGCGATGGAATGAACCACCAGGCACCGAACTGTTATGTTTCTCTTGCGTCAGGAGTGAAGGGTACCCATCATACGACCTCCGCGCGTTCTGTTGTAGTTCGTGTGTCGTTGCCGCTGAGGCACTGACGATTGCAGTCCGGAACTGGGGCATGTGCGATTGCAGCCTTTTGCTTACATTGCCAACACAACACAAGCACCGGTGATTGCAGCGTGGAGCCCGATCGAACAGCAGGCAATTCTTAGCAACATACACGCTTACGCTACCAACACACTTTTAACACCACCGCACCTGAGCGCTGACGACCAACGCCCAGCAGGCCGCGGGAGTGTCCGGGAGGTCCCTCGAGCTGTAGTCGTTGCCGTAGTGTGTGCGCATCGCCTGGTTGATCACCGTTTGGCGGCCGATGACAGGTGTGAAAGGTCACCGCACGTGCGGAAGGGTAAGGCCGAGGACTGGGAAAAATGTATGCATAGTAGGTTGGTCCGGTCGTCGTACGTGGTCACGCATGTTACGGTCATTTCGGACGGATTCCTTAACGTGTGGTGCACGATTCACAGCAGCGTGAAAAAGGCAGCAGCGCACTGCAGCAGCAGCAGTAGGTTTAGGGCATGCCGCAGGTCAACTACCTTGGCGGGCACACCAGTCGGAAGAGGCGAAGGGCCGACGAAAAGGCTCGGCCTACGGTGATTCGACATGAAGGCCGGGTTCTGCACCGTGCGAAAAGGGTTATGTAGAAATGGCTCCGATCCAGAACACTCATTTATCGTGCGTGACCCCTATCCCACGCGATTAAGTACTTAATAGAGCGGGAGAAAATCAAAACAGAAAGCGGGTTGTACTTTCGCTTCCTGCGACCCCAAAACAATCCCCGCAAATACAACCATCGCCGCGGGTACACACGATCCACGGCTCCACTAAACACGTCGATACAACAGCGGCCAAAAAAAAAAAACTACCCGGGTAGAGCGGGCAACGATAAAGCAAAAAACCGACGAGAGAGAAACAAAACACGCCCATGCACCTTCTCCCAGCCTGCTAACCCTACGCGACCAACGTACACACCTGGAAAAGCATCGACGAAGGCGGGTAGTCCTTTCGCGGTGTAAACTTGTTTTGCCCCGAAATGTCCAGCCTTCGGTTGCGCTTCGGAACCAGCCCGCCGAGCCCGCCGGCGCTGCTGCCTGTGGCGGCGGCGGCGGCGGCGGCGGCGGCGGCGGGGGCTTGAGGAGCCGAGGATACCCTCATGCCCCTGGGCTGAGCCCCGCTGCCGCTGTCTGCTGCTTCGGCCATCGGCAGTGAACCCGCAGCACCGGCGCCGAGCAATACGTCCGACCCGTGAGGTAGCTGAGGGGAAGAGGAGACCCTGTCGATCGAGCTAGTGCCAGTCTTCTTCAAGCCTCCCGCTGCCCTCATCACGCCCGCCGCCGGTTCGGCGGCAGCAGAACCCATCGCCCCCGCACCCGTCGCTGCCTCTCCCGCCTCAATCATGGAGGACGCCGACAGGGAAGAGAGGTCGCCCCCCACGCTGACGCTCCTCGCGGCCCCGCCCAACCCCTTGTCGCGGACGGCTTCCTGCAGCGAGGAGCCCTTCGCCAGAGCGTTGAGGATGGCGCTCTCCCTCCGGCTCCTCCCGATCACCCCCTCGCCCACGCCCACCCCTACGCCACCCCTCAGCCCGCTCCCTAGCGTCCCCGACGACCCCATTCTCGGGAGCAGGCGAGCGGCGGGGCTCCGCACAACAGACGTGGCCGCTGTCGGCACCGCCGGCGCCGCCGGCGCCGCGGCCGCTCCAGGCGTCAAGGCACGCGGCTGTGCCTCGTCACCCCCGTTGCCCGCGCCGCCGATGCCTCCTCCTCTCCCCCTCCCACCCGCCGCCACCGCGTCAGGGTCGCCATGCCCCACCGTCGCCAGCGGCACCGGCGGGTCAGGGGGCGCGTCAGCCGTGTTCATCAGAGGCGAACACGCCCGCCGTCGGAGCCCGTGCGCAGACGGCGGCGCCGGCGTTGGAGCTGGCTCCGCTCTGGCAGGGATGAGCTCCGCGCCCGCCGCTGCCGTCGGCGGCGGCGGCGGGGACCGAGAGGAGGAATCGCGGCGCGCCGTAGGAGGCAACGCGGACGAACGCCCGGCAGCAGCAACAGCAGCAGCGGCGGGGTTGAGCTCCGCAAACGCCTCCAACGCCCTAGCGGCGGAAGCGGCAGCCGCCGCCGCCGCCGGCCCCGCCGTTGCCCCCGCCCTCCCCGTCGCCGTCAGCGACGGCGAGCGCGAGCGGCTGCTGAGGTCGAGAAACATCGAGGTCGACCCCATCCGCCCCCGCCTCTTCTCCCCGCCGCCGTTGCCGTCGCCGCCGCCGCCGCCGCCGCCATTGCCGACGACGGCGGCGCCCGCCCCGGGGTTAAGGCCGACCGCCACTACCGGCACTACGTCGTCCTCCCCCTCCGGCGCGAGGGTGCCGAGGAGGCCGCCGGGGCCACCATCGAGGCGGCCGCTCCTGCCGGCCGGCTTCCGGTACACCATCGTCGCCGCCGAGTGCCGCTTCTCGTGCCGTCGACGCTGCTGCTGCTGCTGCTGCTTCCGCTGCTTGTGCCTGGCAAGGCTGGTGTCCCTGCTCCTGCTGCTACCGGCGCCGGCGCCGCTGGAGGTCCTCTTGTTTCTCCCACCACCGCTGGTGCTGCGGACGCGGCGGCTGCCGCGAGACCGCCGCCGCCGTTGCCGCTGCCTGCCGTTGGCACCGCCTTCCGTATCGTCCGTGTTACCGCCCCCGCCCGTAGCTAGCTTAGCGCTCGACCTGCTCCTCCTCCTGGCCCAGCTGTTGCCTCTCCTGCTCCTCCCCCCGCGCGAGGACGACCCCGCCCGGCTGCCGCTCCGAGACCCTCTCGGGCGCCCACCACCACCGCCGCCGCCGTCGCTCCAGCTGCTGCCGTCCCCGCCTTCCCCGGCGCTCCCCCCCTCGTCCGTCTCATCGGTGTCTTCGAGGGAAGCCTCGTCGCCGGAGTCGTCGCCGCCGGAGTCGTCGTCGCTGCTGGCGTACAGGAACGGCTTGGCGCCACTGCGCGCCTCCAGGTGCACCTGCGGCGACCCCATCGGCGGCGGCGGGGCCGCCGGGTGGAGCTCCCAGTTCCCCGTCCCGCCCCCGCCTCCGTGGAACGCCGGTGTCTTGCGCTTCATTTGGAGGGGTGGGGGGAGGAAAAAGAGTTTTTTTTTTTGCCGGGAGGAAAATAAGAATTATGGGGGGGGGGGGGGGACCC